AAAATAGACCGAAAATCAGCCTTTCAGAAATCTGCAGGTGCAATCGGCGGTTACCATCGACGGACCGTATCCTGAACCATGGCTCGTGCTGCACATCCGTCCATTGTGAAATAAAAACCCCCAAGATGTATCCCAGAAAGTTGACTAAGCGTCGAACGACGGATGGACCGATGGTCCGTAGGTTGGACTACGATCCGTAGTTTGTATCCGTCGATCAAGACAACTTTTACTCGCCCTCTGACAAGAACCATTATTGACTAGCACTGTCCATAGAAGGAACTACAGGCCGTAGGTATGAAGGTAGGTGGAAATTAGCAGATAGTTAGGGGGAAACTGCAGTTGGGTCAACTTCAATTGATCATAACTCTTAGCAAAAAATTTATTAGGTGTCCCAAGGCATAGCAAAATATAGATAATTGAATTAGCTTTCCATTGCCACCGACTTTGCTAAAATCAGATCTCCGAGTAAAACGTTATGTCTATTTTGGTAAAGGCCTATCGAACATACCCAACCTACGGACCCAAATGACAGACCGTCAATTGAACGGCGGCCCGTCAGTCCAGGTCTTCGTTTGGTCCGACAACAATTAACTTAGGGGTCTTTTGGTCTTTTCCAATTTCTTTTAAACTCTAAGATATGTTGTTTTGACCCTAAATCATCATATTTTAGTTAGTTTAAGACTAGAAGCTTAACTAAAACTTATATATGTCAAATCATTAAATCAAAACTTAGAAATTAGAAGCAACAAAGGAGAAAAAGGTCAAGAACCCTAGTTCAAGAACGCACAATATTACCAGCAATTCCATCCAAAAAATCTAAATATTTCTCCATGGATTTCATCACCAGGTATGTGGGATTTCACTAGTGCATTCCTTTCACCCATTAGATTCCTAGTTTTCAGTCAGTTCTTGATTTTTTTATCATGAAAAAACCTAGGGTTTCTATAATTACAACAGGTCATCATAAATTAGTTAAATATATGTTCCAAATAAGATTGTTAAGTTAATATTCAATCTATCTCATGAATTTCATAACCCTAGCTATGTATTTCTTTACTTATTGAATTACACATGCTACGTTAGATTTAGGTTACTTCAGATATACATGCCTCAGTTATAAATGCATAATTATTAGATCAAAATGTTTCATTCTCAGTTTGCATGTTCAGTTTTGAGCTATCCAGTACTTATAGAAATTAAAACATAATCAATTAATTATATAATTTATTGGGAGTAGCATAATACCGAGTTGGACTAGGGTTCAATGTACTTAATAATCCCAGAACTACTAGCCAAGTAAGTTGTAAGTCCCCTATGTGGGAATTAGTTTATTGATCACGCCAACATGCCTTTATACCTTTTGCAGGGTATATTGGGTCCTCTTGATGGGGCATATACATCGGACTCCACATTTAGCTCATGTGGTTTTATTATCCATTATTAGTAGCTCCCATAGATTAGCTAGATTACACTACATTGACCATTTAATAGTATATACAATAATCAGTTTGAGCATGATATAAATTGGTCATTATATTCAGTTATATCAGCATTCAAAATATATATCATGTAAGATAATATACTTGCTTTTGTGCTTGTTCAGTTATGTATTATTTTAGCTTTATTCTATCCTACATGCTCAGTACCTTCAAGTACTGACGCATACGTGTGCTACATATTCTCGTGATAAAGATTCAGGTTCTCAGTGTCCAAATCACGGTTTGATCAATTTCTGATCTCTAGTTCAGCAGGTTCAGTGGCGAGTCCTCATTCTCGGAGAACAAAGAGTCTTGAGTTCATTTCAGTCATTTAGTTTTAGTTTTTGCTAGACTTAGCTGGGGATTTTCCTAGTATTTCTACTAAGTTAGAGGTTTATTTTTGACATAGATAGTTTAATCTTAGTGTTGAGTTAATAACTTCTTGTTAAAAAAGTCATTGTTTCAAATATCTCATTTATAGACTAAGGGTATTCCCCGTTTTTTCAGTTTGCATTATGATTTAGTATTGCATTCAGTTTATTATCTTTAGTATGCTCATGATTATGTGAACAGGGTTAGCTTGGGATCACTTGTTGTCCTGGGTTCCTTGTCCACGTCTTGAAAGTAGCTTGGGGCGTGACAATTAGACTCTAAATTCCAAATCAAAACCTCTCTCTCACATTAGAACTCTCAAGAACACCATTGAAGAATAAGAGAAGTTGGGGGAATCCACTTAGGACAAATTCACCAAGGGTTCAAGTTGGGATTAAGGCTCTAATCAAAGGTATATGAAGCTTATTAATCCATTAATTCTTCCATTCATGGAGTACCCTAATTATTCCTCAATTATGAATTGAAAAAACCCTAATCTAGAAATGGTTAGATATGATTTCATTGCTATAAAGTCATGATTGTGATTCCACACTAGTGAGTAGAATTCAATTATGTTCATATAATCATTATGTGATGTTTTCATGAGGTTTTCATGGTGAATTGTAGTAATTGATGTTGAAGGTTATCATGGTGATTTTAGGGAAGATGATGGTTCTAAGTTGATCTTATTAATTCTATTGTATTATGTGATAGTTGATCATGATTGAATCATAAGGTATGAATTTAACTAAGCCTAAATGATCTAGGTTGGTCTTGACTTGTAAATCTAGATTTGAATCTATGCGATCTTGTATGCTAGACTTACCTTCTAATGATCCTGTTTCATGAAGTAAGTATGAAATTGAACATAGATCATAATGAATTGAAAGTGATAACTGATTATGGTTTGTTATGCCATTGATGCTAGGGCTTTGAGGTTAAAGTAGTTATGAAAAGATTATTATGAGGTTTTCTTCTACCCCTAGTAATGAACATGATAGGGAAAGCAAGTTCACTCACATATATGAATTCTAGGTTGACATGAACATGATAGGGAAAGCAAGTTCACTCACATATATGAATTCTAGGTTGACCTAAGAACCTAAAATGAATCAATACATGATGAATTATATTAGCTTGAAGATGGATTGTATGATCACTTCTTGTGTAATAGATTTGGTGAGACAAGACCAACACATGATACCTTGAGATCTGAATCTCCTTATAGCTTGAGATGGTAGGTCGCAAGGATAGGCTTGATTTTAAATACTCATGGTAGCTTGAGATGTTGAAATCTCATGGAAGCATGGGTTGAATTACTCATGATAGTTCATGGTAGCTCGAGGTGATGAACTTCATGGTGGCTTGAGGTGATGAACTTCATGGTAGCTTGGGATGGGGGAAGTAAGCTCTCTCATGCTTAGCTTAGTAATGTATTGAAAGGATGCTTGATCATGATAGCTTGGAAATGATGGTTCTCATGTTAGCTTTGGATGGAGGAAGCAAGCTCTCCCATGATTAGCTTGGTCTTTTGTTGTAAGGATACTTGATCATGTTAGCTTGACTTAGTTAGGTCAAAACCATTTCATGGTAGCTTTAGGGAAAATTCCTATATTCTCCTACTGTTAGCTTACCTTTCATGCAAGGTGCATTTCATGGTAGCTTGATTTGGATGCACATGTATTGATGTAATAGCTTGATATTAGTTTCTCATGATAGCTTAGGGTTGAGAATTCATGATCCCCTATGATTAGCTTGAATCTACATGATTGGTTGTGTGGTAGTTAGGATGGTTGTATCCTTGATTAGTTAGCTTAGTTAGTATTATGAGATGCTTTCTATGATAGTAGGTCTATTATGATAATGTGTTGATCTTAGTAGATAAGTTTACAAGACAAGTTAGCTTTGATTAGGTTAGTCTAGAAAAATACGTATTATGGATGGTAGAATGGGATGTCATTTATACATGGCACAAGTATGACTTGAAGCTACCTTTGACATGACCTATTTATCATGTGTGATTATCTTTAATAGTTAGTAGTGTTGCATTCCGTGACATAATTGACATAAGATGATAGTTCCTTGTTAATATGAAGTAGGTCTATTAGATGACTCCTAATATGACATGAAACTAGATAGTGTGATTTCAAGATATGCTTAGTGTGTGAAGTATTATGGGATGCTTTACATGCATTGCACAAGTGTGCTTTATGGTGGCCTAGGGGCATAGTGATCATATTTTATGATTAACTAGGTCTTAATTGCGAAAGTGAACTATTATCAAGAATGACCAAATAGAGATACTTAGCTTTGATAGTAGTATGGGAGGCTACCTTAGCCTTATACAAGGATACATGAAGGTGGTTGTGATGTTGTCCAATTAATGTAAGAAAGACATTTAGTTATGAATGAACTCTTATATTCTTTATGATTCTTTAATGTTCTTATTATATTCATGTTATGCTTATGTCTTTATCTCATATGTTTATGTGTATTATTCACTAACCCTTTGAGATATCTTATGTTCGGTATGATAGATTCCATTCTTAGTACTTATCGTATAAACGCTTACTGCCTACATGTTGTCCATGTAGGGTCTTGAGGAGATTCAGTTGTTTTCAAGGGTAGAGTTTCCAAGGCTTATCAAGAAGTGAAAATTGGTGAGTTCTCATAGCATCCAAGGACACCACTACTACATTGTCTTTTATGTTTTTTCATGATTAGACTATTATGGGATGTGACCCAGCACTATTGTACTCTTGATGTCATGGATGGTTTTCGAGACATATGTTAGAAGTTTATAAAATGGTTCCACAATATGTTTTGAAATAAAACATTTAATTCCGCACTACTTTCGTATATATGTAATGTATATATGCAATGAATGATGTGTAAGGTCTTGTACAAGACTTCCGAGAGGTCAAGTACGCTGTGTGATGACTCAAGAATGCCCAAACTTGTAGGTTGTATATGCGTGTCATTACAGCATCAACGGCTACACCGCCTACGCCTCACTAAGGATCTTCCCAAACACGATCACCACAGTTCAACGGAAAGTATTATAGATGGTGGAAGAATCACATTATGGACAATCTTATAGGAGAAAACCCAAACTTATGAGGATTCATCCTGGACAGACCAACCATTCCCATGAAGACTGGACTTGATGAAATAACCAAGGTACCAAAAGAAAAGAACAAACGGGATGTAGCGGATAAGCTAGCAATACACAAAAATACCAAAGCCAAGAAGATGTCTATCTGTTGTGTAGGTCCAGATAAGTACAATCGAATCTCGTGGCATGATGCCAAAGGAATATGGGGAACTCTGCAAACTGCTCATCCAGGAACAACCCAGGTAAATAAGTCCAAAATTGATAATCTAAAGGGACAATATGAGTTATTTAGAATGGTGGAAGGTGAAACAATACAAGACATGCATACAAAGTTCACCACAACCATCAATGAAATGTACTCTTTAAGAGAAATAATTCCTAATGGAAAGGCAATAAGAAATCTCTTAAGTGTCCTTCCAAAGACATGGGAAAGCAAAGTAGAGGCTATCACTGAAGGATGTGACTCAGATTTTCTAGTGATGGATCAACTCATCGAAAATCTCATTGCATATGAGCTTGAGAAAAATCAAGAAAATGAAATCGGATGAAACATAAAGAACAACCTGGTTTTTAAGGCTACAAAACCAGAATACTTTGAGGATGATAATATTACACTACCGACTAAAAGGTTCTCAAAAATGCTAAAAAGAGGAAAATATTTCAAAGGAGAAATCCTAAAGAAAAAAGTGAAAATGAAAGAGAACAAGTATTTCATAAGTGTGGAAGTCCAGATCACTTTATCATGTTTTGTCCACTAAATAGTTCAGAGAAAACAAGGAGTTCAATACTTATTAATACATTCCCACAGACGGATGGATGACAAATCAAGAAGTTGGTCTGTTAATGAACAAATCATTTGCTGCGATGGAAACTTATTAAAAGAAGAGTTTAAGGATGGTGAATTTGAATTTGAGTCATTACATTCAATTGAGAAAATGCATATATATGACTCTCTTGCACTGATTGCTATAATTGAACCAGAAGAAGAATGAAATATATGCCATTCATAATAAAAAATTCAAACACTAATGGCTGGATAATATTCTGAAGAAGATGAAGAGGAACACATGCACTATAAGGTAAGACTTCATCCCTACTGCACACTCTCATGAATACATATCAATCAACAAGCTCTAAAATGGAACTAATAATAAACAACTATGCATCCCAAAGGGAAGAACATGAGAACATTGAGAAACAAAATCATTGACTTCTTTATAAGCTAAAGGAACTAAGCAATCATTTAGATTTCATGACTAAAAGGAATGAAGATCCTTAAAACAATAATTTATGACTAGGATGGAAAAATTTCATAGTATGTAATGGATCAGGTCTTTAATTCTTCTTGAAAACATTCAAAAGAGCCAATCTCCTACTTTAAATGGAATAGGTTTTGGTAGGAATTCTGAAATCAGTAATCCTAAATTATATTGTTTATGTGCTCATTGTTGATTGACTAGACATAAAAGTCATGCTCTCCATAAAAATTTAATAGCTCATAACAACAATCTATGTTTTCTTAAAAGACTATATAAGGAAGCAATCAGGAAACTAGTTACTAAAACAAAACCTCTATGGGCCAAGAAGAATGTCATACATTCTTTTCCTAAAAATTATGGACCCAAGTCAATCTACGTACCAAAAACTAATTTGTGAATCATAATTACATGGGTTAGGGGCTGAAGCAATGGTAATTAGATTGTGCGTGTTTTAGAAACATGATTGGTTATAAAAGTAAATTCCTCTCATTGAGAAACTTCAAAGGTGGAAATGAAGCCTTTCAAAATAAGGAAAGATAGAGAAAAAAATGGAATTAGACAGATGAGACACATGACACATTAGAAATTTTTCAAAACTGGTTCATATGAAATTCAATTGTGAAATAATAATCATTCATTTCAATCATGGATTAATATTTGACAATTTGAAATTCCTAGAATTTTGTGCCACAAATCACGTTGATAACAAATTCTACGCACCAAGAACACTACAACAAAATTGTGTAGTTAAATGCAACAATAGAACATTGGAAGATATTGCATGAACCATGCTTCTTTCAAGTAATCTCCCGAAATCCTACTAGGCTAAGGTTGTAAATACTTCATGTTATCTCTTCAACATGTGTAGAATCAAATCAGTATTAAGCAAAACACCCTACAAGCTCTTGAAAGACAAAAACCCTAACTTGGTTGTCACGACCTAAGGTATATATACCCTAGGTGTAACGTGGCCTACAAGACCCCAAGAGGCACCATTCAAGCAACTTAGCTTTGATAATACAAGATAGTAGAATAAGGAGATTTAAGATAGTTTCAAGATATCAAAGTTTTATAAAGCATAGGTTAGATCTAAACATTCTCGCAAAGTGATTGATCGCATAAAAATAAATTTTTCCCTAGCGCATACATTTTGTTTTAAAACTAAAAGTAAGGAAGGATTGAAGATAGTAAATGTACGATCCTCGAAACCTAAGGACTCACAAAGCTCTAAATATCCTCAAAAAAATTTAGTCACTGATGAGTCTGATATTTGGACTCATTTAGGACTTTGTTTTGATAGTTTTAGTGTGCTCAATGTCTTATTTATGCTCTAAACTTATGTTGAATTTTTGATTTGCAGAATTTAATGCTATGGAGTAAGGCATGGACACTACGGGAAAAAAAGGAACAAACAAGCTAAAGAAGTGAAGAAAAGTAAGCCTACTGAACGCCAAGAACACTCGTCGAACCTCCGAGTCGCTCTCTTACTCGCCAAAATTTCAAGCATGCCATCCCTGGGGAAAAATGAAGTTTCCAATAGAAATGGCTAGTCGGCAAATTGTCGATCCACTCCGCGACAAAAAGTTTGATCACGATGAATGGGAGAAAGGAGAGGATCGCCGAACCACTCGGCGAGGAGTGACTTATCCCCCAAAATTAAATTCTAGGCCAAAAATGGGCAATTATAAATTGTAATTTAAATGAAATTTTGTGAGATATTCAAATTCCTCGATAATGTTGATCCCCAAGTTTTTGAGTATTGACCTTTTCTCTTAGTTTTTGACTTTCAAGTGAAGACTTTAAGGATTTCTATGTGGGCTTTTAACTTAACCAATATGGACAATTGTAAAGACTTGAGTACCTTTACTCAACTCATTGCTAATGTATTTTGTAACCAATTATCTACTTTTAGGATGCGTAGCTAAAATGCCAATTTTTGGGTTGTGTGTACTAAAAGGAAAGAAATCTGTATAAAAGGGAAATATGGTCTTGAAAGTCAAAATCTTGACCCAAACGAGTATTTGCAACCTAAGAATTTTTGTCGCCACCTTTCCTAAAATCTTCCTTCGCTATAGCTTAATGATGATGAAAAATAAATCAGTCGTTAAAGGAGTTTGGGACGGGGATCCTATCTCGTCGCAAAAAACCTTCTAAGATTGTATTTCCGTTGTAAATTTGACCAAATATATTTTGGGAAATACTTTTTCCAGGTCAATAAAATACTTAGTGACCACCAAAAACTAGTCTTAATAATCTTTAGAGACAATATAGATCTGGTCCTAGTAATCTTTAGGGATCATTAAAGACATGACCTTAGAATATCTTTATAGATGAGTACCGTCTGGTCATAGAAATACTTTAGCGACTATCACCAATCTCTTCCTAGAAATACTTTAGCGACTATGACATACCCCGTCCTTGAAAAACTTAGGGATGTGCAAAAATTCTTGTCCTGGATTGACCACTCATATACATAACAATAAATATCAAAGTGATACTAAAAATATTTAGCTATAAAAAGATGATGTGTGTGTGTGTGTGTGTGTGTGTGTGTGTATATATATATATATATATATATATATATATATATATATATATATACATAGAGAGAGAGAGAGAGAGAGAGAGTACAAAGAGAAGAAGATGTATGCAAATAAAGCGATAAATTAGAATAAACTAGCTTACATCCATCATATTAGTTTCGATACTTACCAAAAAAAATAGCTAATTAATAACCGAGTTAGACTATGCCATCAAGTTTTGCATAAGAATTATAGAAAACTAATAGTGAGCACATTCACGTTCTTCAAAAGTTGTATCGTGCATTGGAGAAGGAACTAAAGATGGACAAAAAATTTAAAGTCTTGATCTTCATCGAGTGTTATCCAAAAAACATCAACAAAAGCTGCAAGCAAATAAGAAAAAATCTACTATAAAAATTTGCAATGCATTAACCTAGAATATACTATCCATATTGAAGATTTACAACATAAATACTTAACATTTATCACACAATAGAAATGTTATGTTCGGATGTAATCTTCCACTATCAGTCAATGAACCATGTCCGTTGGCACAACAATAATAAGTAGTAAACAACAAAGCAGTTTATGTGAAACCCTCTTGCTCAAGGGCGGTGAAAACCAAGATAGGTACTCACAGGATTTCAACCCAAGCTCCATTTATATCAAAAAAAGAAACAATTCTGATTATCGACTCTTCTAAACCTACTAATTTAACTCGAAATCCCTCCCTCCTCTAAGCAACAACTCTGTTGCCCGAAATAACTCTAATTGATTCAAACTTCTTTTAAAACTGAGCAACAACTTTGTTGCCCACGAACCGAACTAACTCTAGTTGACTTAGACTTCATCCACTAGCCATAGCTGACTCTAGCAATGACTCAAGATTAACACTGAAATGAAACACTGATCTAATTCCTTTATAGTTTAGGACTAGATATACAAAGATAAGTACTGAAGTATAAATCCTTAGACAATTAACATGCTAAAAACTCTATTAGGTCCTTGGTGTTCTTGGGAAAAATACTTCTCGAAAGGATGGTTTTTTGCAGTGTTCTTGAACTTTTATTGAATGCGAAACTGATGTTGTACGAGAGACAAACACAGACGGTACAAGTGATAGACGTTGCCATGAACTTTTTTCAGTTGTCCCTTTCTCCCATAGAAACATCGTTCCATTATCGGATTAAGTCCCCTTATTAGATCTTGTTGTTTGTGAAATCATCAAAACTAAAAATTACATTGTACTACAAAAGTAGTCACCTAGATAGTATCAGCAACATAGATGCGAGTGGATCATCATTTCTCAGTATAAAAGGATGCCAGTAATGAAATCGTAAGCAACACTATATTGAAACTCTAACTCAACATTGTTCGTACCAAATTAGACCAACGGTCTATAAAAAATGCTTTTGAAACATGTATATTGTTAAATATTTATTGCTTTAAAATTACAAAAAATATCATAATTGACAATAGAGGACAAAAGGCAATGCATGTGTCGATAAACTAGTAAAGAAAAAAAGAAAAATGCTTACAGGAACTACGAGCTATACAAGAAAATATATTCAATGTTTGGTCTCGTTTTCAAGGAAAAACATGTTCAATGCCTCGTCCTATATTTAAAAAAAGGGCAAAAAGTGAATACAAGCTAAACTAAGCAGAATTCTTAACAGTAATCGGAAGGGATTAACAATGCTTTCTGCGAAGATTTCTACCGGATCACATCCCACGAGATCAACAGTGTGCTCTATCTTTTTTATTGAA